GGGACGTGGGGCAGAGGGGTCTGTGCCGCGGTGCCTGCGGCAGTGCGGGGGGAGCACAGCGGTGCCGTGGGGACGTCACCCGTGATGGAGCCGCGCTGTGGGGCTGAGTGGGCAAAGGGGAGGGGAATGAGGGGCCAGGTCTGTGTGGGCGGGATGCAGGGACAGGGATGGGGTCATGGAGGGGGACAGGACAGACCCTATGCAGAGCTGTGGGGTCGGAGCCGGCAGCCCCTGCAGAGCCACTGGCCCCACGGCCGCTGCGTCACTGCGGCCTCCTGACGCGGTAACGGGCCTAATTGAGGCAAATTGCTGGAGCAGGGAGCTCTTCCTGGGAAGGTAAATATGGGCACTGCAGGCGTGGGGCTGGTGCTCCAGCATTGCCATGGAAACACCCCACTTTCTCCCTGCAATGGCTCCACAGAGCCAACAGCACCCCCAGACCCTGCCCAGCTCCCCATGTCTGCACATCATGACAGGGAGCCCAAGCCAGCACCGGCCCTTGTGGTATCCCTGTGGCAATGTCTATGGCACTGCCCCACAGCCCCTTGTTGTGTGTCCCCCCCCCCCGGCTGTGTCCAGCACCCCAAGGAGCCTATGTCAGGGCAGCTGAGTCCTGACCCCCACTCCTGGGGGCCAAGGCACATGGCAAGGGCTGGCTGGAGCTCAGAGCTGCTGGCACCCTGAGCAGGACGGTACCTGCTGGTGGTGGGGAGCTTCATGCGTGTCCCTACAGCCCGCACCCAGCACAATGGCCTGGCACTGCCATGTGCACCCTGGCAGCACCCCAGGGTGGAGGGCTTGGCAGCACAGCCTGCATCCAGCACCCCACAGTGCATCTCAGGCAGCACAACCTGTACACCACACACAGAAGCACACACAGAGACAGCCCTCGGCTGCCCATCAGGAGCCACCATTCCCAGCGCCTGGTGGAGTGAAGGTGCTGCCATCAGCCTGCACAACCCAGGCAGAGAACCCCAGACTGGTTTGGTTGGACCTTAAAGCTCCTCCAGCTCCAACCCCTGCCACGGGCAGGGACCCCTTCCACTGGAGCAGCTTGCTCCAAGCCCCTGTGTCCAACCTGGCCTTGGGCACTGCCAGGGATGGGGCAGCCACAGCTTCTCTGGGCACCCTGTGCCAGCGCCTCAGCACCCTCAGCATGAACAGTTCTTCCCCAGCGGTGCTGGGGCAGAGCTCAGGCTGCTGCAGTCCCACCTCTGGGAACCAAAGGTGTGGAATGGGGCTGGGGCCGCCAGGGTGACCGGGGCAGCAGCTCCCCCGCGGCTGCAGCAGCTTCTCGCATGAGAACTCCCACTTTATCAAGGGAATTGAGCACCGCAAATTGGTGTTCTAAGTAGATCCTACCTGCTGCCGGCCACTCTTCGCACCGCTAATGCAATGATACAACACATACCTCTCCTCCTCCCACCAGTTAATCTAATGACAAGCACCGCATCCGAGTCAGAGGGAAAATAAACCCTCCCTGGATTAGATTTTTAGAGGTAAACAGCCTCATTTCTGTGCCTGCGGCCTCAGCCACTCACAGGCACCGCCACCTGCCTACCCCCCCGCTGCCCTCCTCACCCCACTGTGGTATTAGTCTTTATAACCATGCCCTGGTGATGGGATGGGGTTTGTACATTGCATTAGGGTTGGAGCCACTTAGCCTCTGGCTGCACAGGGCCCGAGCCAAGACACAAACAAGGCAGGGGCCAGCGGGGCTGGGCTGCAGGACCCCCAGTATTGCCCTGGGACACAGCTGCAGCCCCCGGGCCTGCCCCAGCCACAGGGAGCAGAGCTGGGTGCTGTGGTGGCAGCTGGCCAGGGGAGGAAGAGGAGTGGGCACCGCACAGAGCCTGCTCCGCACCAGCCATGACCCTGGCTGGGCATTGGAGTCAGGCGCTGGCAGCTCACTGCACCAGAGCATGGGGGACAGGCCCCATGGATGAGCTGCTGCACCCCAGCAGCGTCAGCTCCTGGTGTGCTGGGGCAGCCCCATCCTGCTCCCCTCACAGCACCCATGAGGCGCAGGGTCCAGCCCCTTCCCACCACTCAGGACACATGGCTCCAGCCATGCTTCGAGCCAGGGCAGCCACATGTGTCTGCCACGCTCCCAGACACACCCCAGGGCCCATCCTGCTGGAGAAGTCAAAGGAGAAGGGCAGTGACAGCGACAACTCTCACCTCCTGCCTCTGCACCCCACGGGCTGCAGGGTTCCACCCCAGGGTGGCTCCTGCACTGCCCCTCTGTGCCAGAACCAGGCAGTGCACCCTGAGAACGTTCTGGTGATGGGAGTCATGGCTAAGATGCACTTGAGGAGAAATTCTAGCAATGCTAAGTATAGTTTAAATGCCATCGAAGCAGGGGAGGGAAGAGGATCCTGGTGTATTAATAGTCTCAACATTTAGATGCCTCGTCCAGTGACAGTCCTTGGGATGCTGGCTCGCAGGAGGGCTGCCAGTGCCGAAGGGCACTGTGCTACCAGCAGCGCCAGGTCATACACGCCTGTGGTGGAATGAGGAGCCCAGAGCAAGGGCAAGATTCCTTCTGTAAACAAGAAATGAAAGTGTAGAGCAGCTCCTGTGCCCTGGGACTGCTCCCGAGGACTTGGTCAGGCCGTTACAGCCAGTTACAGCCTGAAATGGGAAACACGGGGCTCCTCTAACAGGAATGGTTTGTAAGCCTAAAAAGCAGAAGACCAAAGGCCCTGCCCCAGCGGGGCTGCAGCACCCACAGTGCAGTGGAGGGACTGGGGAATCAAGAGGGAATGGTTCACCGGAATGGCACAGCCACACAGCCCTGCCCCAGGCAGCATCCCACTGCTCCAAAGCACACAACCCCCAGTGAAGGGAAGGGAGCAGCCCTGTGCCCGGCCAAGGCAGCGGGGCTGCAGTGGGCAGCAGCACACCAAGGCAGACCCAAAAGGACACCAGCTTTTATTTACAACATGCCTCAAGTGACAGACAACAGAAAAAATAGAAAACAAAAAAAGAAAGAACAGTCTAGCTCAGTGACTCAAGAGAGGAAAGGGAATGGCAGCCACAGGTCCCCTGCACCCCCCAAACCCACTGGTGCTGGCCAGAGCCCCAGCAGCCCCTGCCCTTAGAACCAATGGTGAGCCTTGCCTGGAGCCCAAGAAAGCCCCCCCTGGTGTGAGTTACACTGACTACAGCTGCCCCCCCAGTGACACTCCTGCCAGCTGTGGAGGCCGGATCTCATCCATGGGTGCACATCTGGAAGTGGTGTTGGTGTAACACAAGCCAGCGCTGCTCTGGAAGGGACAGCAACAGTCATAACCGGCCACCCCCTGCTGCTGCCTGCTCTGGAGCTGCAGAGCTCTGAGGTGGGGGACACAAACCCCCCTCCAGGCACCACAGAGGTGCTCGGGGCAGGGGCCAGGGCTGACACCCCAGTGCTCTCCATCTCCAGCTCCAAGGGACAGGCCCAATCTAAGCACAAAGTAAATCCAGCCTTGGATACACGCCCAACAGCTCTGACAGCGCTGACCAGCCCCAAACACCATCAGCCCCAGTGGAAATTACACTCTATGGAAGCAAGGAAGAATGACCAGGGTGCAACTGGTGCAGCACAAGGGGTGTTGAACTGGGGCTACTGTCCCGAGGCACAAGGGTGGAACTGATGCTCCCTTCTTCTTCCCCAGCAGTGGTAGATCCTCGGTGCACAGAAGGGAGCAGAGAATTAGCGCTGCCTCTGCTAACAACGCAGCTGGTCTGCTCTGCCCTGAGCCCTGCCACGCACCAGAGCCCACACACGCAATACACCAGGGGCAGAGATGGAAGGAGAACAGGAGACCCGTGATCCCAGCATGAAGAGGAGGACAGCTTGAGGCCAGAGAAGGCTATGAGTGGGGGACTGGAACCCTTTGCAACGGGCTCTGGGCATCCTCAGTGAGCACCTTTGATTTCAGGTAGCTTCCGAGCCAGCCCCGGAGCTGACCGGCTCTCCCGCAGGCTTTTGGGAGCACAGACCAGAGGAAGAAATCAACACAAAATCTCAAATGAAATCTGCTTGAGGCCCTTGGAGCACAGCCGATCCGCGGGGACTCGCCTTAGGACTTCTTCGCATCCTGTGTGTTCCTCCTCTTCAGATCGCCCAGGTCGACAGGTTTGAACGCTGCGGGGAGACAGGAGGGGCTTTGGCGGCAGAGGCCGCGGCGCGGTGCCGCCGGGCCGGGGCCGGCAGGAGCCGCGGGGAGCCCCCGGCCCCGCTCACCTTTCAGGCTGGGGTTCGGCATCTTCTCCACGTACTCCTCGACCAGGCCGCGCTCGGAGCCCATCTGGCTGCGCAGGTCGCGCTCCACGCACTGCCAGGCTGCGGGGACACGGGTGAGAGGCCGCTCGCCGCCGCCGCCACCGGGCCCGGCCCCCGCCCCCGCCCCCGCCCCGCTCACCCTCGTAGATGAAGCGCACGTTCTCCTCGTGGGCCGGCGTGAAGATCTCGCTGCCGGCGCCGGGGGAGCGCGGGCCGCCGCTCCGCTTCCCGTTGTAGACCACGCGGGACACGGGGGAGCTGAAAGCGAAGCGCGGGGCTGAGCCGGGCCCGGGGCCGCGGTTGGGCCCGGGGCCGGGCGGGGCTCACCTGGCCATGGCGGCGGTGCGGCGGCGGCGCGGCTCGGCTCGGTGGCTGCGGGGAGAAAGGAGAGGGCGGCCAGGCCGGGGCTAGGCCGCGGGCCGCCCCCCGCCCGTCGCCATGGCAACGCGCGCCCCTCACCTGGGCCCGGCTCCCGCCTCCGCTCGCCCTCGGGCCGCCACGGAAGCGCCGCAGCGCGCACGCGCGGTCCCGCCCCGCTCTGGTTCGGTTCCGCCCCGCCCCGGTCCCGCCCCGCTCGGTCCGGTCCCGGTCCCGCCCCGCTCCCGCCCCGCTCCGCGCACGGACCCGGCGGTGCCGGCACTTGGTTTATTGGAAAAGTACAAAGTGGTTCCCGGGGTCCCGGCGAGCTCCTGCCCGCCCGCCCAGGCCCAGCCCGGGCCCGGCCCCCGGCCCCCGCGCAGCCCCGCTCTGCTCCTCGCTGAGCGCCGCTTCAGCCCATCGTGGTGGCCCCGAAGAGCTCCACCAGGTCCTGGTACTCGGGGTCGATGAGGTCCGAGGGCTTCTCACCGCTGTCGGTGGTGGCCTCCGGGCTGGCCCCGAGAGAGATGAGGTACCTGCAGGACACGGGGGCTGAGCCAGGGGCCACCCCGAGCGCCCGCCGAGGGCCCCGGCAGCCCCCAGGAGGAGGCGCCGGAGCTCGCTGCAGCCCCGCCGCTGTCGGTCCGGTGCTCGGGGCTGGGCCGGGCCCAGCGAGGAGCTCCCTTCTCACCTGGCGATGTCGGCATAGCCGTCGCTGCAGGCCATGTGCAGGGGTGTCCACCCGTTCTCATCTCGCTGGTGGATGTCAGCACCATATTTAACCAGGAGCTCAACACAGGCCAGGTTCCCAGTGAGCACAGCTTCGTGGAGGGCTGCCATGCCTGGAAGGAGAGGGTTTGTTAGCCCTGGACTGGGGCAGGAGGCTTAGTGCTGAGCTCACAAGTGTCCACAGCCTGGGAAGGACTGAGGCAGCAAACCCGTGTTATCAGGGAGAGGACTCTGGGGAAAGAAAGAGACTGAGGAAGCAAGAGGAGCTGCTGCAGGTTTCTGTTCCCCTTCCACAGCGTGAGTGCCCTACCCAAGCTGGGGTAGCACCCACCTCCGCACTGGGGCAGGCAGGACAGATCCAGGGAGGAGGAGATGCCCCTTCCTGCAGAAGTCCCCAGCCAGCAGCCAGTCCCAGGTTCCGGCCGGGACTCTCACTGGACATGGGGAGAGTGTGTGTAGGGTTCTGTGCTGTCCAGGTTTTGGAAGCTCCTCATGGAGCAAGTGCTGAAGCAATCAGCATGGACAGGAGGAAGCTTGAGGTCATTTGAGACCCTGTCTCCATGGCCATGTGACAGCAGCAGCCGAAGCCAAGCACAAGAAAGGGGCAAACCTGCGCTCTGGACCACACGTTGTGGATCACAGCATTCCATGAACAGTTGCTAGTGAGGCTGGATGCAAACACAGCACGATGCCTTCACACAGCCAGGCCTGCTGTGAGGCCACAGACCCAGATGCACAGGGAGGATGGTGTTTGTGAAACAGAGCAGGAGCACATGCTCCAGAGAGGGTGGAAGGCAGGAGCCCCATGGTCCCATGCAGGGCTCTGCAGACCAGCCTGTGCCCACTGCTGCTTGCCTAGGTCCCACCACACTGTAGGTTCCTAGCATGCCTTGAAGGGACGCAGGGGTCGAGCTCCCCCCTTCCCACAGCATACACTGGCCACGCTGCTGGCTGAGATTTTGGGGCACTGGCATGGGCCTCTCTTGGGCTCTGCTTGGCAACGTTGAGGCACTGCTCCTCACTGGGGGGGAAAACGACTCGGTTCCAGCCCATCACCCTGCTGATGGGGGCCACATCCTAGCTTTGGCCACAGCTCCCTGTGTGCTGCTGCACATTCCAGCTCTGCCAGCCCCAGCAGCACTCACCGGAGGGGTAGATGGTGTCCAGTGTCACCTTCCTGGCACGTATGAACCTGCCCACCTGCTCCAGGTCCCCCTGCCTGATGTGGTCCTGAAAGACGATGTCATTGGGGAAGCGCACGGTGCGTGCGGCTCTCAGTCTCTGCCTGTACCGACTGTACCGCGGCACCGAGACCGGGTAATAGTCCTTCATGCTGGCGGCAGCCTTCAGGCACTGCGGGGGCAGAGGAGGCGCACGTTGCTCAGTGCTTGCTCTTGCCGCTCGCTACCCTCCCGGTGCTGCTTTGCCTCTTCTGCCTCGGGTCCCTCCTGGGCAGTGGAGTGATGGCAGCCACACCGCTGCGGCCCCTCACTCCCGTCTCGTGTCCCCAGTGGGTCGGCTCTCCCTCGTCGTGAAGCTCTCCCTGTGCAGGACGCAGGGGACAGCAGTAAGCACACGCACTTCCCGCAGGCCCTTGGCCCAGCACTGATGGTTCTGCCCCAGCGCTGTGTTATAAAGGCTCCCACGGGCTATTTTGAGGACGTGCAGCTCATGCTCTTTGCCACGCCACTTCGTAATCGAGCTGCCCGGGCCAGCAGCCGCTTTCGGGCAGAAGTGGGTGTCTCATCTTACCACCCACCTCTCCATGTCCCCATCCAAGGGGTCAGACCTGCTCTGGCTTTTGCATGGAAAGCTTTTCCAAACAGGCACCAAGGGCCCAAAACCAGAGCTTCCCAGCAGCAAGCCCTCACACACAGACGTGTGCCAGGGAAAAGGCACAAGCACGAGCACCAGTGAGGGGAACCAGTGGACCTGTCAAAGCTGTGGTGCCAAATACATTCAGAGCTAAGTCACTCTCCTGTAGTTGCACCAGACATGTCGAAAGGAGTAGAATGAGCTGTGCTGCCCGGCATGGCAGGGAGGCAGCATACAGCTAAAGAGGATCAGCACCAGCATGCTGGAGCATGGCAGTGCTGCTGGTGCTCCTGATGCAGGTGCAGAACCAGAAGCCCACGATGCCAGTCCGCAGTGTTCAATGTCCTACTTAACACAAGGGCAGGCTGCTGTAGAACTGTCTGAAAATAGCTGAAGAACAGCACCACCACCAGACACTTGTGCATTCGTTACCCTCTGGCTGTAGCTGTCAAACCCATCTACCACAGGGGAATCTTTCAGATCTACCAAGGGTTCAAGCAACTGCTCTCCTGTGCTTTTCCCCATCACAATTTGACCATTTCAGATACAAGCAGCACATGGTGCTCTGGTTTGTGCCAATGGGCCTGTCCAGGCAGGCGTGTCAGGAGTCACAGAGCTCCCATTCTGCCCCTGCAGCAGCTCAGGCGCACACCACAGAACCACCTGCACTTGTTTATCTGCTGGCAAACGCATCGATCTCTGCACTGAGCATCCCTGCTCAAGGTTGCTGCAGACAGAACACCAACAGACTGAGTGAACTGCTTTTAGCCTCCTTTCTTGGAACAGCAATTAGCTGTGTACACAGGGTGACTGACAAAGTCCTGCTTGTCAGAGAGCCCCCTCCTCAGCCCCGGCTCTGCTGCGCCAAAGGCCCGTGCAGACCATGCCAGGGCCCTGCTCCAGGGAGCCATGGAAGAGGCTGCAGCTGCTGACACACATGGAACAAGCTCCTGTTCTACCACCCCAAGCACCCACATTCAGGGGCAGACACCAGCAGCCTCACGTGTTGCCCTCCAGCCTCCCCCTGCCCTCCCCTCTGACATTTATAGCATATTTCCTTACAACATATTTCCATCAGTAAGTGGTTTGGAAATAGCAGCGCAGCTCACGGGTCATGTGAGCCCCAGCACCACTGCTGCACGCAGCCCCAGGTCCCCCGGAGGCAGAGTCCTTGGGTAACTGCTCAAGAGCAGTGAGGGCCAGCTGGCCCAAGCCCCTGTCTGATCACTGCTAATAGAACAGGTCTAACCTGGACAGGCCATGCCCAGCCTGCAGCTCTTTCCCTTTACAGACAACACAAGTGGCTTTAGGTTAAGTCACCAGAAGGAACCTGCAACGCTGCAAGTGCTTGGAAGTGCCCTTTCTCTGAAAACCATGGGTAGAGTTTTGAGAAAGTAAATACCCCCACACTGCTCAGGCAGAGTCCCTCGAGCATCACCCTAGAGTTCTGATCCTCCTCTAGGGCAGGTTCAGGTAACACTCAAAAAAGAGACAGTAGTATTAAAATCTCAACTTTATTTGGCCAACAAATTGAGTTCCAATGTTATTGTAGCAGAATGCTAAGAACCAGCCTGATGCAGCTCAGGCCTCTGAGGCACTCCCCCATTCAAGTTCCTCCCCAAACCCCAATAATTGCAAGTGTCCTGTTTGATCCAGCTCATCAGACCCTCCCGCACCACCCACCTGTCGAACCCCTCCAAATAATGCATGGGAAGTGATTGCAAAGTCTTGCATTTGATCAAAGGATGGCAACAGAGCCAGGTCTCGCCTGCACTGGCGAGCGCTCACCTCCACCCCAGAGCCTGCCACAGCCAGTGCACAGTATTCCACCCTTCCAGGTGATCAGAATAGTCATCTCCAAGTGTCTTAAAGCAGAAGGGAAAGGAAACATCTGGCCAGCATGAAGAGAAGCACCTGCAGATACACCTCTCACCAGGCTGCCAGCCTACTGCCTCTTGCCTACCTACACTGAAGGCCAATTCCAGGGAAGAGCCGCTGAGAGCATTAAGGACCCTGCCAGGTGCAGAAATCAGCTGCAGGCTGTAGGTTTAAAAGAAACAAGGGAAAAGAAAGCTTTCTTGGGAGATGTGAGTGGCAAAGCTCCAGGAGGCTGAGCCAGATCTCGTGCTGCGGCTTCACAATCAGCTTCTACCCACAAGAACAGAATACTTCAAGCAAAAGCTGTGTACAAAAAGTACATCCCGCTAAGGAGGAGCGCAGCGGGGCCAGCTCCCTGGTGACAGATCCCTTCTCAAGAGCCAAACAGAAAAGAGTCGAGTGTACAGACAAGTGAGGGGAAAGTGTTACTTTAAAAGCCAATCCCTGGATTTTCAGTCATTCACCTTCTGCTTTAAATCTCAATGGTTCTGACTCGCTGGGCTGCGGAACAGCAGCCAATTTAGTGTCTGATTTTTTGGGTGATGTCGATCAGTCTTCTGTTTACAATTCATCCTTCTGCATTTTCTGCTCTTCATCATCACCTTCTTCAAGGTCTGTTTCTTCATCCGTCTCCAGGTCCTCCAGATCCTGTAACAGGTTACAGACAGCTGCTGGTTTCTGGTGCACTAGGCAGACCCTAGAACAGTACATCTGATCTGTTCACTGTTCTCTGCTGCCATGTTAAACACCCAGAGACTTCCACAAAGAGCTCTGAATTTGGGACATCGAGTATTAGAAACACCTGGAAGCTGGTACCTCACTTGTAACAGCCTCCACCCTAGATACACAGGACATGTAACGTGCATCATACTACTCAAGTTTCAATTGCTGAGCAGGACTTCTCAGTAAAGAACAAGTGCCCAGAGTACTCCAGCAGTTTGCACAACAGCCAGAGACAGCCTGTGAACATTTACAGCTTCACCAACTGTTTCCACACCTTTGTTTAGGCCTCTGAAAAGCATTTATTTCACACCCAACTGAAGTGCTGCCAGTGAAAGGTGTCATTTACAAGCCTCTGGCAGCCAGGCTGCAACTGAAAATTTGATGCTGGTGAACATGCTGATCACCAGCAATACCTTTCCTGCCACAGAACCACCCAGAATCTTCTCTGGGACAGAGGACAGGAGCCCAGCACCAGGTCTGACCCACGCTCCCTGTTCTGAAGGCCCAGAATTACCACCATGTTCACATTACTCACATCATCAGCTGCTGCCCCATCCTGGCCTCCACTCTCCAAGAATTTCTTGAAGCCTTCCAGCGTCCTCTCCCCATTGTAGTCAATCACCTACACAGGGAAAACCATCAGGATAATGGTTATGGGCACCTACAGAACCACAGGCCTGGGCAGGAGAAATCTCTCTCTGAGCAAAAGTCAACATGCCAAGCAAAAGGGAATTTAAAAATTCACCTTCACCCATATGAGACGAAGGAAAACAGCTCAGGCACTAGACTTCAGAGATCACTGCGAGGAAAGAATAGCCTGCAGATGAGCACACTGTCCTCTATGGTCCCTCTTTTCCCCATTCCCACCCCCACCAAACTCCTTCCTACAGCCCAGCTCCCACACAGGGTCTCTGATGTCCTGTAGACTTGGTGTGTTCTATCCTGACAGAGTGGAGAGGCCCCCAAAGGCTCATCCAAGCCAGCTCCAGCAGGCAGCTAAGCATTCCTGGGGCTCCCTCTTTACACCACCCTGGTCAGCTGCCTGCTTACATTTCTGCCAGAGCCTGCAGGGAAGAACTTGAGTGTGGGGAAGCTGTGGATTTTCACTGCCTCCACTTCATTGGCTGTTGAATCCATCTTGGCAATGACAACGTTCTCATGATCCCTGTAGGTCTCTCCCAGCTTGTCCCAGATCGGAGCCAGCTGCTTACAGTGACCACACCAGGGGGCATCTGTTAATTACAGAAACCCAGTCAGCACCAGCAGCCTAATGAGTGACCACCAGCTCCCCCCCCCCCCCCCAAGTGCCCACACAGACAGTTCACACACGTCTTTTCAGCCAGGGCACTCCCTTTGTGGCTTAGATCCTGTAGGGTGCTTCCTCCCTAATCCTGGTCATGTGGAATTTTGGCACTCCTTTCATGCCAGTTACTTGGAATCAGCTGCTGAAAGATACTCACAGAACTCCACAAAGACATTCTTATTCTCATCAAAAGCAACTTCTTCAAAGTTCTTCCCCACTAGAACTTTGACGGGCTGCTTGTCCCAGTCATCAGGAAGATCCTGACTCATCAGGTGGGGCTGGAATAAGAAGTGAAATTCAGAGATAGCCACACAGCTACTGGAATGCACACACAATCATCCTGGCAACCCGGAGCTGAACCACCCACCTCAGCACCCCGATCACAGCCTGTGAGCAAGCACTGAAGCAGACATCAAGTCTCCTCCCCATCCTGAGCCAGTGGGAATATCAGGTGCTGCTGTGCAGAGAACTGCCACTGAGCTCCACAGGAAGGAAGTCATATTGCTGCCATTCCCATAGGACTGAGTTTCACCAAACAGTCACCTCTGGCATAAACTGCACAGAACCTGCTCCCAAGATGAGAGCTGAAAGCTCTGAACGGGGCTGGCACAAGTTGCCACCTTCCACAGACTGCTGGCAGCTCCGACTGCACTCAGGTGCCAGCTCCCTGTCCTGCACTCTCCATGCCCTGGTAGTTTTGCCAGCAGCGCTTCCCTTCCCTACCTTGATTTTGCCCTCCAGGAACTTATTGCAGAACTCTCTGATCTTGTCAGCTGTGAGGTC